CAGTGGCATGTGTGAGTGCGTGCGGGTGACACAGGTGGGACCTGGCAGAGGTCCGTGAGGTTGGCAGGGTTGGGTGTGTCTATGGCAGGTCATTCAGTGGGTGTGGGGACTGGGCGGGAAACAGGCCCAAATGAGGAATGTTCCTGGATCTCCTGGGTGATGGATCCCACAGAATAATTAAGAGGAAGGTGAGGGTGAACGTTGGGAGATGCCTAGAAACAGTCAGAAACTAACCGATACAAAGAATAGCACAGAACACTCCCACATAAAAACAATGGAATGTAAAAGCGTGTCCCCGATTTACAAAGTAGACTTTACTGAAGAGCCTTACAATGCTGCCCGCAAGGACAGACGACTTGAGTTCTGGTCTCAGCTCTGCCTACCTAGCGGTGGGGCCTAGGCAGGGCACCTGAGCCTCAGCTATCCAACCTGCAAGGAACTGTCTCAACTTTGCCCAGTGAATTTCCTCAACTCTCATCCAAGCCAGGCCTCAGCTGGGTTGTGTGTGAGCAAGGCGTGGGGTGGAGCACAGACATAAAATCCTCTGTCAGAAACGTGACGGGCTGTCACAGGATTGCATCAGCCCGTCTGCGGGCCAGGCAGCTCTCCCAGCTCCGTGGAGTGAAGACCGTTTCTCCTCAGGGGAGGAATCTCCCACAGCACAGCTGAGTCACCCACCCTTGCCATCCCCAACCACTTTTAGTCGCTCTGTCCTGTGACTCTGACTTAGATGACCCTGGTCCTGAAGACCCACTCGATTCCAGCCTTGGGGGTGACTGACATGGGGGCCCCTGACTCCCCACCTAGTAATTGCACATCTGGGCCTGGCTGACTTGCTTACCACCCATGAGGAGGGCAGCCCTGATTATAGCCTCTGGGTGGGCAGCTGCCACCAGCAAGGCCTTCAACCTCCACCTGTCCCCAGAGGACCTCTTCCCTGGGTCCCTTTTTTCAGGGTGCTCCCTAAAGGCACCCCTCCATCTGGCATGGGGGGCGCCCAGTGCAACAGAGATCCCACGTTGGGATTGACATGTCAAGAGAGCATACTGGGCCCTGCTTTCTTTCCCTGTGAAATGGAGTTCATTGATATCTGTGAGGTGGTCAGGGTGCTCCCTAAAGGCGCCCCTCCATCTGGCATGGGGAGAGGGTAAGCTGGGAGCTGCCTGCCCCGGGGATGCCCAGTGCAACAGAGACCCCACGTTGGGATTGATACGTCAAGAGAGCGTGCTGGGCTCTGCTTTCCTTCCCTGTGAAATGGAGTTCATTGATATCTGTGAGGTGGTCGCCTCTCAGGGCTGCTGTGAAGCTCAGCGCTGAGATAGGACCTGTGGGCGAGTTTTCAAACTGTGAAGTCTCAGGTGCAGACTCAGGGACAACTGGGAGGAGCCAGGGTGACGGGTAGGACTTCTGCACCCACTCCACTCCCCACTGTTTTCTCTCCTCCAGGAAAGTCTGGGATTCGAAGATGAGGGATCCCAGGTTTAGGTGAGGAGTGTACCCTTGGGGAAGGGTGGCAGAGGGGTGTGGCAGGAAGGGCCTCCCTCCCCTCCCCCCTCCCCAATGCCTTGCCTTCCTGAGTCCTGAGCTTCCCTCAACCCCTCCCCCACCCGCAGTCTCCCTGTCTTCTAGGCTGAAGAGCTTGGCCCAGAAGAATTCCTTCTGGATCCACCGGGTCAACTGCCTGGGGACGGAGCCCCACATAGCCAGCTGCCAGGTGCAGGTGGCGCCAGCTAGGGGCAAGCTGCAGCCGGCCTGCCTGGGTGGCATGCACGCTGTGGTCAGCTGTGTGGCAGGGCCCCGCTTCCGCCCTCTGAAGGCCAAGCCTGGACGCAAGGAGTCCCGGGCAGAGGTGGGTCCCGGGTGCCTGCACCCGGCAGAGAGGCACAGGCCCCTCTCAGCAGCACCCTGCCTTTGGGAAGGACGGGTGAGAAGTCCAGGACAGGCAGGAGGAGGGACAGCGGCCCCTATCCCCTATCAAGGAGGTATCGGTGCACAGAGTGGTGGTACCCTGGATGTATTTAAAAGGGACCGTTTATAACCCTACCATAAATGGAAGGCTGACATCACCTGCTATGAATAGAAGGTGACCATAAAAACAGTAATTACATTGTAGCTATATCCCATATTGAACCTGAGCCTGGCCCTTTGTTATAAAAAGCAACGAGCAAGTGCTGGTGAGGTGGTACAGACAGGGCAGGGCAGCACCCAGGAGGTGGTCTCCGGATGAAAGGAAGGAGGGGCAGAGAATCACAACGGAAATAGCTTCCCCACTCTGTGAGACAGTTTAATTAATGCCGTGTCCCCGCATGTCTCTAAAACCACTCCACGGATCCCTTTGGGAAGCGTTGATCTAGTTCGGCCCCAAAGGACACAGAAGCAGAGGCTGGCGCGAGGCAGGGGCTGGCCTGGTGACCAGGTGGCAGGGTTGTGAAGCGCAGGACCCACTCCTAAGGCTCTTTCCTTAGAGCTGGACTTTGTTCTTACTGTCATATCGTGGTGGCTCTTAGGGAGGTTGAGAAAAACAGCTTATTCGCGGTAATAGTTATGGGCAGAGTCAGTGTCTCTGCCCAGCTTATAGGGCCCGGCCCGGCACCCACAGTGGCTCAGCCCGTCCCTCCTCCTTCGCCCTCCCTGACGCTGGTTTTTGCCCAGCAGGAGCCAAGGGTGCGCCTCCGCTCTGGGGCCCAGGTGGGCGAGGGCCGGGTGGAAGTGCTCAAGAACCGCCAGTGGGGTACAGTCTGTGACCACGGGTGGAACCTCATCTCCGCCAGCGTCGTGTGCCGCCAGCTTGGCTTCGGCTCTGCTCGGGAGGTCCTCTTTGGGGCCCAGATGGGCCAAGGTGAGCGAGGAGGTCTGGGGTGGGGTGTGGGGCCTGGATGTGCTGCTGGTCCATTCCTTGGTGGTCCTGGGGTGCCCAGGCCCAGGACAGAAACTCCCCCCTCTGTGGTGGGGAAGCCACAGCTGTGGGGCTGCAGAGATGGAGCCTCAGTGGCATTTCTCTCCCTCCCTCTGTAGGGCTGGGGCTCATCCACATGAGTGAGGTGCGCTGCAAGGGATCTGAGCGGACCCTCAGTGAATGCCCCTCCCTGGACGGGTCCCCTAATGGTTGTCAACATGAGAATGATGCTGCTGTCAGGTGCAATGTCCCAAACATGGGCTTCCAAAATCAGGTGAGCTCAGGCCTGGGCATGGCCTCAGGCTGGGGACTGGAGAAGCCCTGAGATAGCCCCAGGACGCCGCATGGAGCCAGGGGGAGGGGTTCGCGAGAGGCAGCTAGTGCTTCTGCTTTGGGCCCAGCTGGCCTTGCCTGGGAGCCAGCCTAGAGAGCCTCGCCTCTCCCAAGTCTGCCCTGGCCTGGCCCACAGCCCCTCAGGACAGCGGGAACTCTAGGTGGCTGTCCCTCCCATTACACTCTCTCTGGATCCCTGTAAAGTTGAGGTGAAAGGTGCAGAGGGCAGAGAGCTGCAGGGCTGTCAGCTGGGGAGTGGCACTGGGAGGCTTTGAGGATGATCAGAATTCACTGTCATGCTAATGTGGATGGTGGGCAAGTCTCTGAGTCTCTGACCTTGGTTCTCTCTTCTGTAAAATGGGTAACTGTCTCACAGGGTCACTGTGAATGGGACGGTCGATATGAAATCCTCAGCAATTGGCGAGTCGCCATTAATGGCAGGATTTCAGATAGGAGGAGGGCAAGTACTGGAAAAGGAGCCCTGGGAACAGGTGCTTGAGTCATATTTCTCCAGCAGACAGGGACATTAGGGCGAACCCAGAGAGGGAAGTGTCATGTCAGGGCAGCACAGCGAGCTGGCCTGAGAATCCCGAGCTCCCCCTCCTGAGGCCACCCTGCTTCTCACACACCTCTGACCATTGCAGGTGCGCTTGGCTGGCGGGCGCAACCCCGAGGAGGGTGTGGTGGAGGTGCAGGTGGAGGTGAATGGGGTCCGACGCTGGGGGACCGTGTGCAGTGACCACTGGGGGCTCACCGAAGCCATGGTGACCTGCCGACAGCTTGGCCTGGGTTTTGCCAGCCATGCTATCAAGGTAGGTCCCTGTCTTGCTCCCAAACTTCCTGTGCTAAAGCTACTAACCATTCATTCATTCATTCATTCATTCAACAATTAATTACTGAGTGAAACTGGGCCAGTGTAATGCTGGGTGCTGGGAATGCTGTGGTGAAGTCAGATCCTTCCTCATAGAGCAGTCAGCCCAAGGAGGGAGACAGTCATTAATACAACGTTCACACAACAGGCACATGATTGTGTCTGCAGAAAGACAAACAGAAGTTAGGCAGACGAGCTGGAGAGGAATAAACAGCCCATGCAAAGTCCTGTGGCCAGAGGAAGCTCCACTCTGCAGCGGAAATCAGGGACTGGGGTGTGGCTAGTAAGGGCCAGTGATGTGAAGTGTGAGGGTGGAGGAGGCAGGGGCAAGACCATTCAAAGCCTGCAGTGCAGATTTTTTAAAGATTTCTTCCTTGCTCTTTGGCAAACAGTTGGGGTGGGGACTAATGTGACTACAGGGAAACATGCTCAGGAAACAGTGTTACCGTAGCCCAGGTGGGAAATGATGCTGGCTGGACCAGGCAAGTGGCAGTCCTGGTAGAAATAAGTGGATAGAGTCAAAAGGTATCCAGGCAACAAAGACAAGAGGGTTTAACTGCAATGGGCAAACCTCTTCAACTGCACTGTGGCCGTAGCCCAGGTGGGAAATGATGCTGGCTGGGACCAGGCAAGTGGCAGTCCTGGTAGAAACAAGTGGACAGAGTCAAAAGGTATCCAGGCAACAAAGTCAAGAGGCTTTAACTGCAATGGGCAAACCTCTTCAACTGCACTGTGCTGGCTACCGGGCATGCTGGGCACACCTCACCTGGCAAACCAGGGCCAACCCTGAGCACAGCCGACCATCTGGGGCTGGGACCTGGGACAGGCCGCCTGGGCGGGCAGGAAGGGAACAGGACCCTCCTCTTCAAAGAGCTGAGGGCTGCCAGGTGGGAGAGGGATGTGGAAGTTGCAAACAATGTATTTCTGCCTCACTACATGGAAGAAAAGGATGGGAGCAGGGCCATGGGATGTGGAAGCTGCAAACAATGTATTTCTGCCTCACTACATGGAAGAAATGGCTATTATTAGAGGGGTCCAAAGTGGCATGGGCTGCTCCATCACTAAAGGTTTCCAGGCTGAGGCTGGGCACAGCATGGTGGGGTGTTCTGACAGGTCCAAGCCATAGATGGGAGTCAGATGACTCCAAAGGTACCTCTCAACCCTGACTGGGTGATGCTGGCTGTTTTCTTAGGATACCTGGTACTGGCAGGGGACAGCGGGGGCCGAAGAAGTGGTGATGAGCGGGGTGCGCTGCTCAGGCACAGAGCTGGCCCTGCAGCAGTGTCAAAGGCACGGACCAGTGCACTGCCCCCACAGCACGGGGCGCGGCTCAGCGGGAGTCTCCTGCACAGACAGTGAGTAACGAGAGGGCCCATGGGGCCGTGGGGCAGGCAGGCCTGGCTCCCCCCAAAGCAAGCCTACACCTCCCTCCCTCAGGGACGGCTCTGAGGCTGGGTGCTATCAAGGTAGGTCCCAGCTCCAGGTCAGCAGGGTGGGAGTGGAAGGAGGGCTGGACTTGGAGTACCAGCTCTGCCAGTTATCAGCTGTGTGTGGCCAACTCAGTTCACACAGGGTGGCCAACTCTGCCCAGCCCATTCCATGGAGTCATTGTGAGAATTAAAACAGAGAATGTGTGAAAATATAAGGATACACAACAGTGTTTTTCCAATGTTCATATCATGACTAACAGTTAAAAAAGAAAAAGAAACAGAATAGAAAACAACAGAATGAGTTACATTTAGTAAGGGCAGTATTTTTTCTTGGAATTATGTATATGTGTACTAATGGCATGAAATATATTTCTTACTGCAGTTTGTAGTAAGGGAAAAGTTTGAAAGCTGTTGTGGAGGGTACATAAATGTGCGGACATGTGGGCCTCAGACTCCCTGTGTATTCTCCTGAGCTCTGGGATTCATCCAAAAGGCTACAGGCCAAGACCATTCTCAGGCATCAGTCTGTCCCACACACTGATTCCGGGGGCAGCAGCATCTGTTTGACATCTGCCGACCAGGTCTGTGCCAAGATAACTACGTATATCTAGTCTAAAGGCTAGAGGCTGGCACCAACCCAAGTGGCCTCTTGACCTTCTTCCCAACCAGGCTTCAATGCCAAGACATCCTTAACCTTGTCAGTGAGCTTTAGGGCTTTCTCTGTCCAGTGAACCTGGAAGAACACTGGGCCTAACAGCACACCCTGCCCTGCAGGGTGATAGGACACCGGGGTGAGCCTACACCAAGGCTCACGGCACATTGGGGGCCTGCTCCCCACTCACTCCCCTTCCTGGGAATGGGAGCTCTGCTCCTAAACACACTTGAAGCTTCACAATAGCTTAGCACAGCCTCCTGCTGCCTCTGTGGCCACCCTATTCGCCCTCTGTGATTTTTCTCATTTCTTTCTTTCCTTTACTCTCTCTTCTCATTCTCTCTGAAAGCTCTCTCTCTTTCCTTTGGGACACACCCTGGCTCTCTCCAAAATATACCCCAGGAATTTCCAGTGCATTTTTAGTGCTAGCACAGGCATCATATAGCCACCCAGCCGTTTCCCCACTCCCACCCTCAGGGCGTGTTTCCATCGCAGGGTAGTCAACGGACAGGCTCACCCATATGATGCCTCTGCCAAAAATCTGAACTGGAACCCTGTTTTTGCACGACAAGCATTGAGAACAGGCAACTTTTCTCTCTTGATGTTACATGGCAACAGCTGTGGATCTCCACATCTGTGTTGTCACACTCGGGGGACAGCAATGAGAGGAGGCATGTGGCTTCCCAGGAGGGTAAGAGCCGCTGTGGCAGGAAGGGAGCGGGAGAGGCACTGAGCAGTTTATCAAGACACAGGCTCCAGCACGTTGAACTTTTATGCACAGAAAAGCACCAGAAATGGCCATGATGCCTCAGAGGGGAACGCATAGGATGCCCTGGTATGAACACCCATGCGAGTGATCAGGTTAGAACAGAGATTGTGGAGAAGGCGCAGGCCTAGGAACTGCAGCAGAATGAACCAGAATGGTAGATCAGGAGCAGGCTTGGAGATTAACCCTCCCAATTGCCCCCCTTCCCCTCTCCCAACCCTTACACTGAAGGAACTGAGTCCCAGAGAGAGTGACTGAGCGGAGGTAACCAAGCAGCGCTTACTGAGAGGTTATCAGAGCTAAGCGACACAAAGGCAGACAGGCTGAGAAGCATTTTACAAAAGAAATACTAGCTTACATCAATTACATGCCTATCGCAGCCCAATGATCTAAGCACCTTACAGGTATTAATATCACTATTATTATCCTCGTCTTCCAGATGTGGAAAATGAGAGACAAAAAGGTTAAGCAATTCACAGAGCTAGTTCTTACAGGTATTATTGCATTAATATCACTATTATTATCCTCGTCTTCCAGATGAGGAACATGAGAGACAAAAAGGTTAAGCAATTCACAGAGCTAGTTAATGGTGTAGCCAGAAATTAAGCCAAGACATGAACCTAGGCGGCCTGGTCCCAAAGCCAGCAAGCTTAACCTTGACACTGTAACTGCCTCCAGGGTTAGGGAAATAGATTGTTCCTTTGTGACTAGAACTCACATCTCCTGACTCCTAAACCACCCTACCCTTCTGGGGTCCCCAAAAGAGCTTAGTCTGGGGGCAAGCCTACCAAGGGAGCCCAAACAGCTGCCTTCCAACCTGTGCATCCCCACATGCCCTCTGCGGTCCAGGTGCTCCAGACCTTGTGATGAACGCCCAGCTAGTGCAGGAGACGGCCTACTTGGAGGACCGCCCACTCAGCCAGCTCTACTGCGCCCACGAAGAGAACTGCCTCTCCAAGTCTGCTGACCACATGGACTGGCCCTATGGACACCGGCGCCTGTTGCGCTTCTCCTCACAGATCTTCAACCTGGGCCGGGCTGACTTCCGTCCCAAGACAGGCCGCCACAGCTGGATTTGGCACCAGTGCCACATGTTAGTGACCGCCCGTGCCATGACTCTACAGGGACAAAGAGCAGGGGCCAGGGGCCAAAACTGCCTGGCCTCAGGCACACTTTCCTGGGGGGGTGCACGCTCTGGGTAAGAGCCTCCTTCCTAGAGGCCTTACTGACCTTGCCTCCAGGAGGCGATAGGGAATCCCAGCAACATCAGCTCACCCTCTCCATTGCTCTCGCCGGCCCTGGATGTGCCCATGTTGATGGTGCTCATGGGGTCCATTTCCCACAGTAACATCCAACAGAGCCATTACTGCCACCAGGGCTGGTCTCTGTTAGGATGATATTGGACAATTTTTCTATGTGGGACCTGAGGCCTTGTCTTTAAAAGCCATGTGAAGTGGGGACTCCTAGAAACCTGCAGACCCAAAATAGACATCCCATTCAGGATGCTGGCTCTGCAGGAAAAGCTTGCTGGTTTCTGAAGCAGCAAAGCAAGGTCCCCAAAGAAGAGCTAAAAGGAGACAATGAGCATTCTTTCCTATCAGGAGTCCCCAGCCCAGACAGGAGGAGAGACAATGCCTGTGACAAAGCAGAATGGAAAAGTGGCTTTTTTCTTCAGGACACGGCCGTGGGTGGGGAACGCTGAGAGGAATGGGCAACCACTCGGACTTGGCCTTGTGAGATAATAAGCTCCCTTCCTTACAGCGTGGAGAGCTGTCATTAGAACTGGATTGGAAACAATGGTAGCAATTTCCCAGGCTGACAGGGAGCACAGTAAGCACCCTCTCAGCAGCTCAGCTCCTAGGCTGGTCCCCTAGAAGTGCCCCTTCCTTCCACCTCCCAATCAGGCCTTGAAGCCAGGCCTGGCCTGTGGAGGCTACCAGGGCAGAGACTTCACTTCTCACCTGGGTAAGACCCTAGGTAATGGGGCAGCTGTGCCTTGCTGCTGGGCAGGGGAGCCAAGAAGGTAGGCCATATGTCACTAATCTCGGGTTTGGGAGAAGGGCACTGCCCTGCTATTATAACATTCTCCTCTGGGTAATGATGGGGCCTAGTCCTCAATCTTCCCTGCCAACTTCTCCCGAGAGGACCCTCTTCTGTTGCTGCTAGACTGACAGCTCTGCCCCTTCCGCAGGCATTACCACAGCATTGAGGTCTTCACCCACTATGACCTACTCACTCTCAATGGCTCCAAGGTGGCTGAGGGGCACAAGGCCAGCTTCTGTCTGGAGGACACAAATTGCCCTGCAGGTATGTGGCTTCCTGTCAGCATATCCGCTTCCTGTTATAGTCATCACCCTTCCTGGGGTCAGGTTCCCCTCTGCCCTGCTCAATAGCCCCTGGCACCTGGGGACTCTGGCTTGGCAACTGTCAGCACGCAAGGCATTTCAAAATGATCGATTCCCTACCTTCTGAAATCTTAGGTGGAAGGTCTCTACTTCCTCTGCATTCCCACCCCACACTTTGTACCAGCTTTAAAATACTTAACACTTTCCTATTTCAGATAATAGTTGCAGGCCTGTCTCATCTCTGCTAAATTCTTTGAGGGCATGGATTATCTGATTCCTATTTGCATACCCACAATTCCTAGCCCTTAGGAAAAGGCATGGTAAACACTGGCTCCTGAGGGCTGGATGGACGGAGGGACAAATGTAGCTCAGTAGAGCTGGAATCTTCCAACCACATTTCCTAGGCCAACAAGGCTTTCCATTAGAGCAGCGGTTCTCAACCTGTGGGTCGCGACCCCTTTGGCGGTCGAACGACCCTTTCACAGGGGTCGCCTAAGGCCATCCTGCATATCAGATATTTACATTACGATTCATAACAGTAGCAACATTACAGTTATGAAGTAGCAACGAAAATAATTTTATGGTTGGGTCACAACATGAGGAACTGTATTTAAAGGGCCAGAAGGTTGAGAACCACTACTCTAAAACAAAAAACTACTTTCAAAGGGGCAGATAATAGTTCTGGAAAAAATACATTTAAATATATTTTAAATATAAATATATAATTTCAATAATATGTTCTAGATATAATTGATATATAATTCCCTATGAAAATTTGACAAACTTTAAAGGGAATAACATTAAAATTTCTCTCTGATACAGCAGAGCCACTCCAGCAGGTCACCAATAAGTAGAAAAGCCAGCTAGAGGTCAAGAAAGATAGTTGAGGGAGAAAAAACAAGTCTAGCGAAAATGCTACAGTTCCAAGGCTACAGCTCCCTAGCCAGGGTCCACGTCCATCCCATATGGTTGTACAGGTTTTGCTTAAGGACACTCAGCTGTGGAGAGCATATGTGGAGCTAAAATCCACGTTTGTTCCGTTCTCCAAGCTGCACACCTGGCAAGGACTTCACCTGCCTGGCAGTGAAGACACCATCTGTCTCATCCAGAGGCACTGCCAACTACCCAAGATGTGTAGGGCTGTGTCTTCTCAGAAGTGCCCTTCTCTAATTTCCATAAAAGTGCCCCTGCTAAGACGTGTGGTGGTTTGAAGAATCCCTCACTCTTAAAGTGGTTGAAAATTTACTTCCTGCTCACATGACCCTTGGCCTGATAGCACACCTTGAAATGACACATGATGCAATGCCGCTGCAAATATAATGGGCACCAGGTCTGGCTGCACAACTGCCACACAGGTAACTGCGAGCCACTAGGGGACCAGCCCTCTATGGGCTTGGGGAGCTGGAAGACTCCAAATGTACTCTGTGACTTGAAGGTGTGTGTAAAAGGCTAGACGTGGAACAGAGCTGAATTTGACGTCTTCACAGGAAGATTTGCAGAACAAACTAATCAGACTATCAAGCCTCACCCAATAGCTACTTCTTTCTATATCCCTTTGTCCTAAGGCTGTTTGGATTGTAAACGGGTTTCCATCTGTCCTAGAGTCTTTCCTGTTACTCAAGCCATGTCAGGATTTCCCTATTCCAGTTCATTATTTTTCCCTCCCTTTCATATGGTCTTTATTAGTTGCCTCCATCGTAAGCTGTCTCACAGGCAAAGTAGAAGTCCCTCAGATCTGCCTCCAGCTGTGATCACTTCTTGCCAAAAAGGGACCATGCACAACAGGGCGCAGGGCAGTTGTGGGATTGGCAGTATCAGACAAAAGAGGAAGCAATGATCCAGTGGGAGCAGAGTAAGGAGGTGGTTGCTCTACTTGTCTATGAAGAAAGGGAGCAATTCCATCTTAAAGTTTTAAAAAGGTTGTATTTGCTATGGGCTGTGTGTGTTCACATCCACACTTGTAGTATGTGGGGTGGGGCAGACTTGTCCATTCAGTTAACAAACATTTACTAAGACCTCTGTCTATGTTGAACACTCAGCCAGGCACTAGAAACATATATAGGAGATGCACAGTTGTCAAATAGGGCAGGCAGACATGCAAATGGATAACCCCAATACTACTGAGTACCCCAAACTGGTATGAACTAAATGTTGAACAAGCAGAGACAGAAAGCAACAACCCAAAGGAAGTGATGTTTGAGCTGGGTTTCAAAGGAGGAACAGAAGTCAAGGAAGGGAGGAGTAGGAGGAAGAGCATAGGATTTGGCTTATAAAAGGCTTCTCTGAGTCCAAATTCAACTCCAACCACTTTTTATCTGTAAGACAGTGAGGAAATCACCACCTCAGAATCTTTCTCTATTGTACTTCAAACCCACTAAGGTTGACTGCAGAGGTTTGTGATGGTTCCTGCTAATACAATAGACTTTATCCAGTGGACTTCTGGGAACCATTAATAAATTATAGTCAAGGGGGCAAAAACATCAGACTTACGTTTCAAAAGATAACTCTGATAACAGATGGAAGACAATGAGAAGAGGAAGACGAAATAGCTAAGGTTTGCATATGTGTGACTGAGTCAACTTCGCAGCCATTCAATGAGACAGGAGTGTGAGAGGAATCAGGAATTGCAATCTGACGCTGTGCATATGGAGACAGCAGATCCTCCATAATGCTGGCAGCAGGCTGCAAGGCACAGGACAGTGAGGAAGGAAAGAAAAACAATGCCGTTCTGATCAGTGTCCCTGCAGAAGAGACAGCATGCTTGAATGAGAGTTGAAGTTATTTAATAAACAGACTATTTATAGAGGTGCGAGTAAGACTAAGGAAACAAGGGGCATTGAGACATCCAGGGATAAGCAAGAGTGGAAAACTATCCACCTTTAGGCTTGAAGGGGAGAGGGTATCCTGGAGCCAGATGAAAGCTAGAGCTGTGGATGAGGGAGAACCTGGCCGGGAGTTACAGTAGACCATCGCTGCCAGAACAAGGGAAGAAATACCCCCCTTCTCTCCTTCCACCCCCTCAATCCCTGGCTGTTGCTTTCCACTGACCTAAATCAACCAGAAACCAGAGGATGAGATCCAGGGTGAGGCAATCTAGGGGTCAGTTCTCCAGGGCACAGAGAGGACAAATCAGGGTAGAGACTGAATCTGGAGGGGGCAAAGGAGAGTAACCAGCACAACTGTTTCCATCCAATAGCCTATTTATCCCAATGTCCCTGAAACCACACACCTGTCAGGGTCTGTTTCTATAGAATGAATTGGGGTCTGTGCCCAGGACCAACCTGATGTAAAGCATGAGGTCAGCAGAATGTCTGTGTGTTTGTGAAGCTGTCAGGGGAAGGATGAGACTGTGGTGGGTTGGTCACTTACCTGTTTTCCTTTGGCCCACAGGGGATTCATACCGAGCCAATGCAGAGCTCTCCCTGGAGCAGGAGCAGCGTCTGAGGAACAACCTCATCTGAAGCTATCACTGCACATTGCCAGCTGCTGCCCACACACCAGATACCTCAGCTTATTGGAGCCGTGCCCTTCACAGAACCCTGACTCAGAGGGAAATGGGCCAGTGCCAAGGGGCGCCAAGAATTGCTCAGGAAGCCTTTTGATGGCAAGATCACCAATCCAGGATGGTACTGCTCCCTTGGGATGGCTCTAGGCCTGTCCCCTAAGGGCCTTTGGTCTATGGACGATGACTCTCCAGGCTTTGTGCAGCTAAGCTCTTCTTGCATAAGGAGACCCAATCTTTCTTGGATTTTGGCCCCGAGTTCCTGGGTCAGGAGCAATCAGTTCCTTGGGGATGGACTATGGTCCAGTCCCCCACCTTAAATAGTGCTTTGCACATGTCTTGGAGGAGTAGAAGACAGGGGCAATACACAGGAGGTGGGGTTAGCTCTCTGCAAGCAGATCAAAGCAACACAATTTGTGTCAATGTCACAACTGGCAGAGAAGTTTGTGAATTTATTGCCTTGCTTGATCTGTCCTCATTTAGAACTCACCTGCCCACTCTGTCTGTTCCTTAGGGCCCTTACCTTTATCCTACTGTACATATGGGTGTTTCTAATATCCCTGGAAGCGTGGGCCTCAGGCATCCCCTTATCTCCTGATGGGCCAACACTACCAGTTGCTGAGTGCTTGAGAAGGGGCAAGATTTGCAGAAGTGACCAGACAGGGCCTTCCTGCAGAGCAATAAAAGAAAAAAAGCAGAGTCTACCAAGGAAAAACTATGTGCCATAAACCTGGGCAGGCAACAAAATGTCCCCCTCAAGATCACTGTGCATCTCAGGACTGGCCTAAATTTCAGGTCTCAACCAAGTTTCTGAAGTGAACTCTGCATTGAATACGTTTTTGCAATGGAAAGAGCATCAGTCAAATAAGCCACTCATCTCTGTAGGAATAAGAAGACAGGTCTTGTAGAGTGGGGGAGAGGAGACTATGAGGCAACGTTTAATTTAGTTAAAGACTAAATCTAGGAAAGGCCACCATCCCTTCTTGATGTAGCTACAATATGCTCTTGCTCAGGTAGTATAAAATCCCAGGGTCTTCTTGGACATGATTCTTAATCTTTTCTCCACTTAGACACACTTAAAAGATGATCCTTACAGATCTGACATCCCAGTGCCAATAAAGGTTTTTCACTATTGACTGTTACAAGGACAAGGCTGACTGTGATTTTCAGTTCCCAGTGCACCAACTTCACTCCTTTCACTCCCAAGACAAGGCTGACTGTGATTCTTTGCAGTTCCCAGTGCACCAACTTCACTCCTTTCACTCCCACTGAGCTGATGACCAGGCTGCACCGGGCACACAACAGCCCCACTACATTTCTCTGATCAGATATCAGCCTACTGTCTGCTTCCCAATTCCCTCCCCAGGCTGTGCTGAAACATGGGTTAGAAAGGTTAAGGGATGAAGGGTAGGCGGCAAGAAGGTCAAGTCCAGGGACTGTAAACTTTTATAACTGAGGCTGCAAAGTCTAAATAAATGGATGCAGATTTACAATAGTGTGTCCCACTCTTGCTCCCCCCTCCCCATATCATGAGTGCCACCCCCTCCTTAGCGAGTAAAAAGCGACATGCTCTGGGGTACACTCTATGAATACAAAGACATGCTTTCTTCCTTCTCCTCTACCTTCTCTCTTTTCAACTCCCTCATCTCCTTCATTAGGCAGAGGGAGCATTATATTTTGGCACAGCAGTTTAGGTAAACAAGGGAAGGACTGATTTCCTGTTGGAGCCAGCAAACATCTCCCAAACAGTAACAACATTATACTCACACATGCAGCTAATGGTCTGTGAAAGAATGTGCAGCTAGTGGGGGAGCATGTGGTGACTGATGGCTAGATTCAGGCAGGGAGGTTACCCACAGGTTCTGGCTGGATCCAGTTTCCAAGAGAGCCGGAAAAGTAGGCCAGGCAGTCAGCCACCAGCTCTGGTCTCAGTCTTGCTGCCCACATCACATGTTTGATAGGTGCAGCCAGTTTTAATTCTTGGAAAAAGCTATACAAGGGTTGTCCTGTTACACCTGAGTTGAAAGGGAAGGGCATGGGAAGACTGGTGGCTGGCATGACTTATAACTAGATGAGGAATGTTAACAGAATACCAACCACCAAATTCCAGACAAAACCAAAAATGTCAGAAGACTTTCATCTCAGCATACTTTAGTCTCTGAGAAACTAAAGTGCTAGGAACTTCAGAAGCCTACATTATTTCTATTCTACAAAGACTTTTGCTCTATGCAGAGCATATCCAAACTCAAGGGGAAGGTACCTTTTTATTATAAATTCCAAGTAATCCTAGATGCAGACATTCAACATACATGAAGCAACATATATGCATAGCAGAGTGCATTGTGTCTTCTCAAACATCTAACAAGGAGCCAGTGGCAGCTACAGGGTGCTTGCCAGTTAGCTCAGCTTGTGAAGGCAGGGTTTAGATATAGCCAAAGACTTTATTCCCATCTGGACAAGCTCAATGTAGTCCATGCTGGGCCATGGCAGGACCTCTTACCTCTAGCCAGTATACATCAATCCCAACTACTAGAAAAAGATAATGAAAAACACACTCTCTACTAAGGGTAGAAGCAGCAGCACTCTATAGTTTTCAATATTGGCTAAAAAAAATAGTCCTTTCTCTGGGTCTGGTTATAAGGATAAATCTGAAAGTTAGAGGTGGATGGTTGTTAGCTGGGGGAAAGAAAGAAGAAAAAATGCACAAGCTACTAGCCACCTAGTATAAAGCACTAGAGAGAAAACAAAAGTAACTTCTAGCAATTATGAGGACTACAAGAAAACTGGGCAATAAACATGGGGCAGTGTTACTTTTAATAATGCCATTTAAAACTAATATACTTTAAGAAAGTGGAGGTCCCCTCAAAGACAAGTGATAGTGGCAATCATCTTTTTACTGCTTAAGGTCACTCTCTGCCCTAAAGAATCAACACAGAGCAAAACTATACCTCAGAGGTATACCATTCAGTAGGAAGCCTGGCTATAATTCCTTGCATTTCCTTTCAAATGCAGCCACATTTTCCCATTACACATGCCTACCTCAGAGAAGTCCGTTCTGTGATGACAAAGCACAAGCTGTGCAGCTGCAAGCCAGAGAGAGGGGCACTGGTCTAAGCACTGGGTCAGAGGGTCAAGAAAAAGATTTAATCCTCCAAACTTGAACTGGAGGCATTACACACAAACCAGGGACACTTTCAGAAGGGCCGAGATTGAAAAAAACAATGCTGAGAAATTGCGACAGGGCTCCCAAGACCAGAATAGAAGCAGGGATAGTGTGTCAGGACTAAGACCCAAGGCCAGTGTCATTTGAGGAACGTTTGAAAAAAGCCCGACTCCACCATGTTCTAGGCAATGCTAACAATCCATCATTGTCACAAGCACCAAATCATATAAAAATGAGGCTAATGCAGCCGTGGGCAAACTACGGCCCGCGGGCCGGATCCGGCCCATTTGAAATGAATAAAACTAAAAAAAAAAAAGACCGTACCCTTTTATGTAATGATGTTTACTTTGAATTTATATTAGTTCACACAAACACTCCATCCATGCTTTTGTTCCGGCCCTCCGGTCCAGTTTAAGAACCCATTGTGGCCCTCGAGTCAAAAAGTTTGCCCACCCCTGGGCTAATGCCTTAGTTAAAAGCACAACGAAACACCACTTCTTGCTACTCAGCATCTTAAGGTCTAGCACTATCATTTCTTCAGTGTAGTACTTTCCAAAAACACTGGGAATGCAGATATAAAATGGATAAAGCCTGAGGTGACAGCTCTGACCTGTCCATGTCCTTTAGGAGGAAATCTCTCACTGCCCAGAGGTGTTTGTTTTATTCTGGCTGTTTTTCATTGTAATGGACAGTCTGGTACTGCCTGCCAAGTGCCTCTGGCACAGGCTGAGAAGATCATACCAAGAACATGCTGCATGCCAGGTATTTTCTGCAGGATGTTAAGATTTGACAGAAATGGGGAAAAAGCAAGAGGCTGGAGTCTGGGTGCACAAAGAGGGCAAGAAGGGAAAAGGAACTGCCACATATCAATCCCAGGAGAGGCACGTTTATAGTCTACTCTGGGGCAGAGAGATGATCATCTCTGCTCATGGGTACAATAAAACCAAGAGATCCATTGAACCCACACACAGCGTTATAAGGGATAAAGATGAGGAGAGCGGCTTACCAATTTCTTTATGGGAATGACAAAATTGACAAATACCAGAGTGATCTAGGTCATAAAATGGACTTTAATGTCTCCCTCTTACAACATGATAGACTTCTCAAGCTGGAACTAGCATACAGCTCCCAAGACTGGCATCCTATGGGAAATGAAGCTGGCATGTCCCTGGCTGCTGTGCAGCTGGAGAAGCCCCAGGCACTCAGCTTCTCAGTACAAACTCTGGAGTCCAAATACTCTCATCTGCTGCAGTTCACCAATTTGGGAGTTCTGGAACTGGAAGTGTAGATTCTGTGAATCCCAAGTATACCAGACACTGCTCCCTCCCTTCCCCTTCAATATTGCTGTTCTCAGCTCTGTGAGGTACTAAAGAACACCCTGGTTTTGCAGGGCCTAAATCTCCCATCATCACAGGTTTAAATCCTCTGCTTCATATTTGCTTAAAACATCCTGGAAGTGTGACCCATGCTAACATGACTTTCCCTGTCCAGAGGACTCCTGGAAGTCATATTTTCCAAGTTTCTTACTAGCTGATTGCTCCCTTCTTTGCCCAACACAATAAGGTGATTCCAAAGAACTGCATTCAGGAATGAAGAGAGACAGGAGTCTATCTTCTTTCTACACCAGTCAGTCTTTGTCTTGATCACTTTATCCCTTTCTTTCATTAACATGCACATTTGCATGTACACAGAGCTCTGGAAGGATCTTCTTATCTGAAGAGTATGGAAATACTTTCTGAATTCATGGAATTATCCTTTCCATTGAGTGATGTTCAAACTGCAGATTGGTCTCTGCCTTCCCAGATGTCTTCTCGTTGCTTGGCTTCCAACCGTTTTCTTTCTGTAAATTAGGGCAGTGTTAAAAGTGGCAGTGTACATCATATACCAGTGACTTTCCCTTAATCCCAATTACAAAGCAAACTAATCAAGAGAGAGCTGGATTTCCTGGTCTTCTCTAACTGGATAGTTAATATCTTTAACTTTCCAAGTACTTGGTTAAATGGAAATGTTACTATTACTATTTAATAGAAAGAGAAAGATTTGGAGCTAATAGAAATAAAAAGTATATGGAAAAAGTCAGAAATCTAGTAGGACCCAGATTCTAGTCTTGCTGATAATATATTTTAATTCTATTTCTCAACTGTGTTAGTGCTTCCATATAATTGCCCATTAGTCCCAGTTTACTGATCTTTCCACATATTTCAATATTCTTCTTCCAACTTCTTGCTCAAATGGAGGTGGTAGCCCCTGGGCGTTAGTTACATCTTATTACAATCTTACAGAAAAAATATTTCAGAGGCAAACTGAATTTCAGTATTTTCAGAGCACTTTCAGGAACCAGAAATCTTCTGGAATACACAATTCCAAAATGGAAAAATGGCCACACATAATGGAGGAAAACTAAGGACTATTTCTAAAAACAAAAAATGCACATATCTGGGCAATCCATCTTTAATTTTTAACATAAAACCCTAGTTTTATTTAACAATTTCACCAAAATGGGTAAAATACAGACCACACATGAATGAAGTGGCCCAAGCACTTCATTAGGTGACATAATACCAGTTCTAATTTCATGGCTTGCCATTTATCTTGACACCATAAAATGTAGATGACAAGTCTAAATTCTTCTTCCCAAGGGCTATTATTTCAGATGTCTGTAAAGATTTCTCAAGTCATAAACCAGGGGGATTATGGAAAACAAGGTGAGTTTAGAGTTAACATTTGCTATTCATATCTTTTCCAAATCAGCCAAACCTCTTATAAAATTCCTGTACTAAAATATCTGACTGTACTTTAAGGGCAAAGAACTTTGTCAGGAAGTTGACTGGCACTTGTACATGTGAGAAAGAGAAATTCGCTGCTATTTGGGCACCATCTTGTGGCATGACCAGATATAGCAGCAAAGTTACAAGAGGCAAAAATTATGGGGGTCAGCAAATTCCAAATGGAAGGCTAGTTAATTCAGTGCCCTGTGACTTG